AGTCTATAAATAATGATAATTCAATAAATATCGATAACTTGATACATTTCTTTAATTTGACAAATTTCGATAATCCCACATATTTTTACAGCTCGATAACTCTCCGTAAATTTCGACAACTAAGTTTCTGTGTCTATAAATTTCGACAACTCAATAAACATTGATCAATTTGAATAATTCGATACGTTGTGATAACGTAATAAGTATGGATAAATTTCGATATTTATAAACTTCGATGATTCGATAAAATTCGGTAACTTTTATGGAAAATTTCAACTCAGTTACCCTAATTCTTATTTATTTCTCATTGTCTCCACTTATGTCGATGTCATGCCGTGTGATGTCAAGTCATGTGATGTCATGCTATATAATGTGATGTCATATCATATGATGTCATATCATATGATGTCATGTCACGTGATATCGTGTGATGTGATATCATATTATGTGATGTAATATAATGTGATGTCTCATCATATAATGTGATGTTTCATCATATAATGTGATGTGATGTGATGTAATGTGATCGCATTCCACGTTCCGATTATTAAATCGGTAACCCTGTCGATAACTGTTTCAATAAAAATACCGATAACAATATCCATAAACATATAGAAAAATACAACGATTGCAAAATCGATTTATTCATCGATAGATATAACAATCATCAGTATCGATTATTGTACATATCGATAACAATATAAATTACTAAATCGATAACAAAATCAATTATTTAATCGATTATTATACCGATAACAATATCCGTTATTGTATCGATAACAATATCGATTATTATATCGATAACTATATCGATTATTATATTGATTACAATAGCGGTTATTTAATCAATAACAGTATCGATAACAATATCGATTATTTTATCGATAGCAATATCGATTATTATATTGATAAAAATATCGACTTTTATATCTATAACAATATCGATCTTCATCCTCATCCTTTTCTTCATATTTATCTTTATTTCTGCATATTCCTCTTCACCTTTACCTTAAAGTGTTTAAATTTACCTTGATCTTCGTTTTTGCCTGTATCTCTAGGCATCTTTGTTTTTGTTTTTATTCTCAAACCGCTAAACCGCTGAGAACCATTTCCATGTGCATTATTCTCCTTGAATTTGACAATTTACTCCCAACCAACCTACTGCCGCTAAAGAGGTTTCACTTCATAAATTCAAGAAATGTTTTTACCCTTTCAGTTACCCTAATTCTTATGTATCCGTCACTGTCTCTATTTTCGTCTTTATCTTCACCTTTGTCTTCTTTTTTTGATTTCATCGTTATCATTTATTTCTTCATCTTCATATTTATCTTTATTTCAAAGCTTAATTTCAAATGCGAAGTGAAACAACATGCGAAACATGTCAAATTGAACATGTTGCAGCAACACCTATACACAAATATGAAAATGTTCAAACGACGGTTTAAGCCGTAATTTTCAACCAATTTTGAAACCATAAAAACTCTGCTCATCTACGAAAACATGCCTTTCCAATGGTGTTCCAATGGTTGGTTTTAAAATCGGTTCGGTAGAATCGCCAAACGACGTATAGATAGTAGATGGTGAAACCAAAGCAGGCATTCATAGGCTTATACGGAAATAGGAATAACTGGGGTTTGGAGCCACCTATCGGGTCTATTTTTTGCAGGTGTATTTCTCTTGATGTTAGTAATATGTATGTTGAATTTGAAGCAAATCGGACCATAAATGAAGTTTTTCGGAATAACTCCACTCCTATTCCACCTACTGAAAAAAACAAACAAAATGCCTTTCGAACAAAAGAAGAATCATTCAAATTGGTGGAGAAACCTAGGAGCAGTAGGGAGGAATAGATTTGTATGGGATTTCGTTAGCGTATTAATATATAGATTCTGGTTGTTAGCCTACTAGTTGATATCGTTTGCGGCGCTCGACAGTGAAATTGAAAGAGTAAAAATAGAATATGGAAATTGACGATGTATAAAAAATAACGTATATTTAGACAGTTGTTTAATGTGACATTTTCATAAAACTTTTGTATTCAAGCAGCTTTTTAAATCTATGTATGTACTTATATTTTCATGAAAATATTATTTCTCGTTTCTAATTTTCTATAAAACTATTTGCAGTCATACAACAAATAAATTGTCAAAAACAACAACTTAAGCAATGCTGCTATACGAAATAAAATTGTTAGTGGCAAATCAAAATTTTGAAACGTGCCGATTTTCACATTCGATAGTTGTACATGGTAGCGACGAGATGTACGAGCATTTTTTCGTTAAGAGCTGCATACTGATTTAAGAAATTTTTTATAGAAGCAAATTTATTTTCCATTTATTGTGCGTAATTTTATATGAATTTTTAGTTTTTCTTGAGCCTTTACAAATAAAAACAAGAAAGAAAGTCTAAGTACGGGCGGGGCCGAACATTAAATACCCGGCGCAAGTTTTAAATATATGTTTTCCACCTTTCCGATAGCTACCGCTACATGATAAGCCGGGGTGTATAAATTTTAAGTAAATTAGCGTCCTTAAATTTCGAAATACTGAAATTTCAAGCATTTCTGAAATTTACCGTTATATGAAAAGCGGCCGTAATTTTAGTCCGATTTCAACAATTTTCAACGGTTTGCTTTTTTGTGGCAAGCACAATAACCGTACCGAGTTTGGTACAAATTGGTAGAACGGTTACCGAGATACATATATGTGATCATAAATATATTTCTTTGTTAAGAATTGTTGCAACCATCAATTTTGAAAAAATTAGCTTTAATATTTACTGATTTATTGAGGATTTCGTATTTTTCTAAATTACCGTTATATGGGATGTGGGCGTGGTTATTGTCCGATTTTAAAAATTCGGCCATTTGGTATGCTGTACCAGGACCAACAGCTGTGCCAAGTTTGGAAGAAATTGGTGCAGCGGTTACCAAGATATACACATGTAACCAAAAGTGGGCGTGGCTACGCCCATTTGCCAAAATGTTTTAATATTCTTATTTTTCGTCTAAGACTCATTGTAAATATCAATTTTGAGTGAATTATCTTTAGTAGTTACTAAAATATCGCACTTTTCGTACTTCTGAAAATTACCGTTGTATGGGAGGTAGGCGTGGTTATTGTCCGATTTCGCCCATTTTCAATACCATCCGTCCTACGCCCAAAAGAAGTCCACGTACAAAGTTTCGTTAAGATATCTCAATTTTTACTCGAGTTATCGTGTGCACAGGCGGACGGACGGACAGACAGTCACCGCTTAATCGATTTCTCTTTTCATTCTGATCATTTATGTATACATTTGTCTATATCTATCTCGATTCGTTTTGCCTGTTACAAACAACCGTTATGTGAACAAAGTTATAATACCCTTGTGCACAAGTGCGCTCGGGTATAAAAATATTGGAATCGATAGAGATGATTGAGCCGAGTATAACGGTAACTTCTTTTTTTGGGCAAACAACAACAACAAAAATTTTCAAAGGTTAAAGTTCAAAATAAGCTATTTTTGAAATCAAGATTTCTTAAAAACGGATGGATAGATCTTGAAAATTTAATAGCAAATTTGATTCCCTTTAATTTGGTATACGTACTTTATAAATATGCTGTATAGTTCTTACAAAAATTGAATTAATGTAAAATAATTATAAAAAAAAAGCTTACAAACCCTAAGTGCGGCCGACGCACAGTGAGACAACGCCGGCATTAAATACAAGGAGTCATTGTAGAGCTCTGAAATTTTGCACAGGTTATTTTTGAGACAATTCCAGTTCTTAAAAAAAAAATTAAGAAAATTCGCCCACTTTTACGCCCACCTGCCAT